CCCGCGGACTCCGGCGAGCTACGGCGCCGCCACCGCTCTCCGCTCTCGGCCCCCCCCCTCCGCCGCCCTCCCCCAGCCTTGTGCCCGCAGTTTCGCAAAGTCGCGGACGCACCCAGCCGGCCGAGCAGGGTTGTTGAGATCCCCGCCTCACCCCACGGCCCCGGTGGACGGATGGGTAGACGGAGGCGCGCGGTGTGGGTCAGGTTGGGACGGCGGCACACCTCCTACACGCCCTCGGCCCTACCCCTCCGGAGGCCGTCCACGATAATCCAATCTGAACGTTCCCTCCGCTACCACTCATCCCCAGATCCGCCTGAAAAGTAAACCGACTTGGAGAAGAACCTAGGGTGGCAGCTGGGGGTAATCCACGGACCTGACCTTCACCTTTGTGCACGGGCCAGAGACCCTGCAGAAGCCCTGAGCTAGGGGTTCCTGGAACCATTTCCCCCACCCCACCCCCACCCCATCCCATCTTAAAAAAAAAAAAAATAGGACTGGTTTCTTCCGAGCCAGACCCTGGCCACCTAAAATGGCCCACTTGGCTCCCGCCTAGGCCTTTCCTGACTAGGAGCCAACTCTCCCTGTGTTACTGTCCAAGGGAAAGTGTGTGCAGGCCTGGCAGCCAGTCCTGGCCCAGGAGCCCACCATCCGCCCCTCTTCCCAACCGCTGATGCGACTCTACCCACCGCACGTTTCTACCCTCACACGTTTGCTGCAGCCGTTCCTCTCGCTGCTAAGAGAACCCCATCGCCTTCAAGGCCTCTGCCAGCACTGCCTCCTCCAGGGAGTCTTCTTGGGAGCCTGACCCTCCCCCTCCCAGTCCTGCTCCCGCTGCATTCTGGGTTCTTCTCTGAATGTCCTAGATGAGAGTTGTCAGTGACTAGCTCAGCCCTCAGGAGTCCTTTCTACCTTCCTTCAGGTGGGGGCTGGGATGACCTGTGCTGCCTGGATGGCTCTGGGGTGAAGATGATGGTGAAGGCCCCTCTTCCGCCACAGGTAGAGGGGGCCAGGAGGAGTCAGCCCACCCTTTTCCTTTCCTTGGAGGAACAATGGGAGAAAAGCAGGTTGGGAGAAACTACAGCCTCTGTCCTCCCTGAGTGCCTTGAATGTGTGGACCTGGGGGGGGGGGCTGCAGCAGGAGGTGTCTGGACAGCTGGATCCAAAGTGCCAGCGACTTCCCAGTGTCCTCAGGGTGATGTCTCAACACCCTGGGGCCAACAGAGCTGGAATAATCTGACCCTTACCCACCTTTACAGCCTCACCTCTCCCTCTTCATGCTCCCATCCCCCACTCCCTTCCCTGCTCCTCCATTTTAATGTCTTTAATTTGTGTACAGTTCTTTTTATTCGTACATTATGCTTGCAGTATTCATACAACTGCACATAGTTTTAATTCACCCACGAGGCATTTTGTATCTCATTAACGTTTCTTTCAGCCTTACCTCTATACTCCCATCCCACACCCTTGATAATGCTCTTGGGTGTGTTCTGCTCACCCTGGTTCGAACTTCCAAAGATGCGGATCTCCAGTCTGCGCCTGCCTTGGGCCCACTTGGTTGTGTGATTTACTTGTGTATGTCCTTGTGTGTTGTCTGTGAGCCGTGGGAGAGCGGGGGTTGTGTCTGACTGTCCTTAATGCTCCTTCAGAACTTGTTGAGTAAATTAAATGTACCTAGTCAATGTGTACAGGGACATAGGGCTCAAGGAGAGGGCAGACTGGAAGTGGGTATGAAAGGGTCGTCGGCATACGGCTGGTACATCGAAGCCATGGCTGGTGGCTGAGACAGTTCAGAAGGGAGTTTAAAGGCTATACAGAGCCGAGTGTCAGTTGCTAGAGGTGACTCAGCCCTTAGGACTATGATGCTCTCCACCACCCCCATCAGACACTCATGCTGGTCCCAAGGAATCGTTTCTTCCACTGCCTCCTCCTTCCTGCCTCTCTAATCCTCTGGCCAGGTCCCCAGGAGAAAGGGACTCTGTGACCTAAAGTGGAGTTCTAGTTTCTCTCTCTCTCTCTCTCTCTCTCTCTCTCTCTCTCTCTCTCTCTCTTTCTTTCTCTCTCTCTCTGTTCCTTCTTCAGTCTTCCAACTCGTTAAATGGTGCGGGAGGGGGACACTGAACCAGAGAGCCCTACTAGCTTCAACATTCCTTGAGTTCAAAGACGCTGCCTACTGATCAGGGAACTGGGACAGGCTGAGCACTAGATTCACTGAGGGCCTCTTAGGCTACCTAGCTTTGCATTCCTGCTGAGCTGTGTAGTGGGGAAACCAGACCCAACAGAAACCAAGGCAGGGAGTTGGCAAGGGCTGGATTGGGGGCTTAAAGCAGGGAGCCCAATGAGTGATGGGTTTTGGGGGGGGGAGGGAGAGAAAAGGAGAGAATATAGGAGAATAAAAACGAATCTATTGTAATAAGTGATGTGTTTTTTCCAGAAAAGCATCTCCCTGTCCTGGGATGGGCTCACCAGATGTTGCCCAGATGTTGCTGGTGAAGGGAAACATCTCCCTCTGGGATCCCAAGTAAGCTCTTCCTGTTGGTGGGGAAATGAAGGGTCTGTTCCAAGGCAAGGAGGGTGGGGTCTGGATCAGCAACCGTCTGTGACTATGGCACTTACATAGGCAGGAACACACCCACACACCCTCAGGGGATTGCTGAAAACTTAGGAGAGTCCAACGAACTTCTCAAACATTCGGCACCCATGGGCCACCCATTTTAGGTAACTAACAGATTATTATGAGTTATAAATAAATATTTTTTAAAATTTATGATGCAGTCCCATCACAAAAACTAAAAAGGAAAAAGTAAAAACAAACGAACGAACAAACAAAACACAGTACTAAATGTAGCAAGAGTGAGAATTAGGATTTATTATACATTGTTGGTGGAGGGGGAAATGATACGTCAGTTTGGATAATTTGGCAGTACCTACTAAGGCGAAATATAGGTAAACTCTATGATCTTGTAATTCTACTCCTCAGTATATACCCAAGAGAAACAAGGTGCTGATGTCCACCAAAAGACACAAGAATGTTATAGAAGCTTTATTCATAACAGCCTAAAACTGGAAACAGCCCAAACGTCCAATAGGGGAGTGGAAGCAAATTGTGATTTATCACACCATGGAATATTGCACAGCACTGAAAAAGAACAAACCATTGCCTCATGGAATTACAGGGATGAATTCCTGTTCATTATATTGAGTAAAAGAAGCCACGTGCAAGAGAGGAATAACTATGATTCCATTTATTTCAATAAAGTTTAAACACAGGCAGAACTAAAGCACAGTGATAGATAACATTACTTTGAGGAGTGCTGACTGGATAGGGCCATAGGTGAGCCTTCTGGGGCGCTGGAGATGTTCAATATCTTGATCTGGGCAATGGATGGACAAGTATGTACATATGTAAAAATGCAAGTTCTACCCTTCAGATTTGTTCATTGTATGAACATTTTGCCTTGATAAGGGAGGAGGGGAGGGAATGACAATTGTAGTGCCCTGATTGTGAAAGGGATGCCCTTATTTTCAGCCGTCCATCAGTAAGCCTGCCTCGTGACCAGTGTGGGACACCTGGGACTCTCACAGGTCAGGTTCAACTGTTTAGGTTTCTCTCCATCTAAATTAGTGTAACAGGTAAAAATTGTATTCCACCATGATTCTTAGGTGCAAGGAACTTCATGGTATTTTACATCTCAAGAGTTTTATAGGTTTAGCTCTTACATTTAGGTCTTTGATTTATTTAAGTGTTAATTTTGACATGTGATGCAAGGTCAGAGTCCAACTTCATTTTTTGCATATGAATATCCAGTTTTCCCAGCACCATTTGTTGGGGGGGGGGGGGAAATAATCTTCTTTTTTCAAAATCAGATCAAAGCAGCTAAGTCCCAGGAGAGCTGGCAACCTCTGTCAGCAGGAACACTCTCTCTTGTGCTGCCCCAACCAGCCCCCTCCAAGGCTTGTATGAGGAATGGAGATGGCTTTCGCTGTCCAGGAGGCCTGACTCTCTGACTTTCCATCTATGTTGTCTGCTCACAGCTAGTGGGCCCCTTATCCAAGCCAGTGAATTCACCAAGAGGAGGTAGTGGCTCTGCCATTTCCCTTAATTTGAAGGCAAGGGAGGGGTCTCCAGTGAGGTTGGGAACAGGGACCAAGGGCCTGTCCTCCTTAAGGTGCTCAAACATTCCTGTCTGGACAATCCCACCCCATCACCTCTTCTCCTCCCCAGTCCTGGGGAGAGTCCTGTTCCTCTCCACCGTATGTCTTCCTCCTTCCCCTCAAAGGAACGCACCTCTCCAGGCCCCCATCCCTCCACCCACCCTAGTCTCCAAAGGTGTGGCTCCCAGACCAGCAGCAGCAGCATGACCTGAGAACTTGTTAAAAATGTAGATTTTTGGGTCCTCCCCAGACCCACTGAATCAGAAACTCTGGGAGTGGGGCTTGGCAACCTGTGTTCTGACAAGCCCTCCATTGATTCTGGTGCACATCCAAGTTTGAGAGCCACGGAGCTAAGGCGTTGGAGGGCAAAACCCAGGAAGGGGGACTACCTTCAAGCACATTTCTTGAACATTCTTGTTTATATAAACTGGAAGAGTTTTGAGCGTAGATCTGTGAATTAAAATTCTGAGCTGTTGAATTCTGGGTCAAAGGATTTTGACAGATATTGCCAAAAGTTGAACCAGTCTCATTCTCAACCAGTAATATCTGATCATGACTGTTTCCCAACACCCTCCCGAACTTACTGACCTCTGCCAATCTGATAGGAGAAACAAAGAAGACATATTACTGTTTTCATTGGCATTTCTCTAATTATGAGTGAAGTTGAGGTTTTTATGAGCCATTTGTATTTCTCTCTAAACTTCTGGTTTATATTCTTTACTTATTTTGTGTTGGGTTGTTTTAGGTCTTTGAGGATTGAGGAAATGAGCCCTTCTGCCTGTCACATGTGTCACACTTATTCCTGATATTTTTACCTTGTTTTATAGTATGTTTTACATTTTAAAATTTCTTAAATGTTTACTTTAGGGATCCTGGGTTTGGTGTGCTGCCTTTCCTATCGTGATATAAATAAATCACCTATTCTTTCCTCTAGAGTTTTATAATCTTATTTTTAATATATAAATCCTTTATCCATTTGGAATTTATTTTGACTTAAGGAAGGGAATAGGGTTTTCACTTTATGTTTTTCTCCTTAAACGATTAGTTAAATTTCCTACCACCTTTCTCCTCTAATTTGAATGTTACCTTAAACAGAAATTGAATCCTCATATGTATTGGGATCTGTTTTTGGTTTTCTCTTCCGGTCCACTGGATTATCTATTTCATCTTTGGGTACCAAATTGCTTTGTAAATTATAATTTCATAATGCATTCTATCATCTCAGGTCTAACTCCATCATGTTACTTTCCTTTTTCAGGGCTTTCCTGGCTTTATTTATTTCCGCATTTGAGTTTCATATCATTTTTTGACAAGTTCCCCGCCTGACAAACAAAAAAATCCTATTAGTATAGTTGACCTTTGAACAACATGGGTTTGAATTATACAGGTGCCCTTATACTTGGATTTTTTCCAATAAATATACAGTCTGCTCTCTGTATCCTCAGTTTCTCATCCACAGATGCAAACAACTGCTGATGGAAAGCAATATTTTCAGTCCACAGATGCAGAGGGCCAATTGTAGTTAAGTTTTTGGGGGAGTCAAAAGTTTTACTTAGATTTTCGGACTGCTAGGGGTTGGTGCCCCAACCCCCAGTTTGTTCAAGGGTCAACTGTATTTTAATTAGAATCACATTGGATTAATAGCTTAATTGAGCACTGACATTTTTATAATGTGTCTTTCTGTTCAAAAGCACAGAATAGAATGTTTCCTGTATAATTTGAATATGATCTTTCTGAAGGCCTTTTTATGTTATTTAAATATTTTTTCTGAATATTTTACCTTTTTGCGTGCTATTGTGACTTCAGTTTCTTGCTATTATATTTTCTAAGTTGTATATATTTTTGTTAAAGTAGAGTAAGGCTACTGAGTTTTGTATAATAATCTTGGAAACCTCCATCATCCTGAATTCTCTTATTGTTTCTGATAGTTGTGCATTTTTCAGTCATATTATCTATACATTCTTTTGCTATTCTGTTATGGCTTAGTTTGTTTTAAGCAGGACTGGATATGAGCTATTTGTCTTTTTGGCATCTACTTAGAAGAAATTATATAGTTCTTTGATCTATTAACATCAATTTTATTAGAGATTCTCTAATATTATTGAACCACCTGGATGCTGTTAGGATGAACTTACTTGGATATGATGAATGATTCTTTTGAGATATTCATTTATATTTGCTAATATTTTATTTGAGATTTTGCACCTCAAGTTCAATCATATTTAATATGATTCAGATTCTTCACATTTCTCCATATCTTTTGTTTTCTTTATAGGGCATGAGCTGATGGGGTTCATCAAAATGCACTCTTGTGTTTTGTCGAATTTCTACTTACATTTTCTGTATATTGATATCCTTAACTGTCATAGCTTACCCTTGATTTTGAAGTTATGCTATTTGGTGTATAGAGATTTCTAAAAACGAGATTCTTTATGAGGATACTGTTTTCTCTTGTTTAACTTTCTTTTGTCTCATTTAACATTTTTATTTTAAATTTAACCTTGACTGATGGTAGCACTGCAGCCTCAGCTCAGTATTTTCTTATGTACCTTGGTTTATATTTTATTTTTAACTTTTCTGAGTTATTTTGGTAAAGATGCATCTCCTTTATACAACACACAATAGGACATTGTTTTTTCATCCAATGTCAGAATCTTTTTTTCCGTTATTAGGATGGGCTTATCCTATTTACATTTGTTGATATAACTGATATATTAGCCTTAATTCTATCCTCTTATCTTCTATGGTTTCTATTTTAATCTCCCTCTGTTCTCAGTGTTTTACTATGTGTATTTTTTTGTTTTCTTTGATATGCATGTGTGCGCGCACATGTGTTTGTATTTTTGTCTGATGATTTGAAGGTTTCTAGTCTGTTTTTAATTTTTTCTAGTGGTTGCCTTTATATTGAGTTATTTCTCTGCCAAGAGAACAAAACCTTCAAATGTAGGGAAAGAGTCATATTCTCAAAGGCTCAGCCTTGGATCCACAGGCCCTATCTTTAAATTCTTGATATCTTATCTTCAACATGAAAAATGGCATTAGTCTTGCCCCGAAGCCAAAGGTTCAGGGTAATCAAGATTCTAAACATGCCACTGAGATGCTGCTTGAGCTGGCCACCTAGGACACAAAGGGATGCTGTATCTCATCTCGTGGATCTAAACCTCACGTGAATATCTTCCCTCGATAGGCAGCATACTTTGCTCTTACTTGCTGTCCATCTCTCCACACAGTGTCTGAAAAGACGTAGTTAGAGAGGACATGAATCGAGGGCATTGACCCTTCTTGCTATTTGTTTCTACACATATCGAGATCAGGAGCAGATTGTTGCCTGACAGCTGGTCTTTGTAAATACAGTGGGGAGTGGTG